TAGATAGATAGATAGATAGATAGATAGATAGATAGATAGATAGATAGATAGATAGATAGATAGATAGATAGATAGATAGATAGATAGATAGATAGATAGATAGATAGATAGATAGATGGATAGATATAGATAGATAGATAGATAGATAGATAGATAGATAGATAGATAGATAGATAGATAGATAGATAGATAGATAGATAGATAGATAGATAGATAGATGGATAGATATATATAGATAGATAGATAGATAGATAGATAGATAGATAGATAGATAGATAGATAGATAGATAGATAGATAGATAGATAGATAGATAGATAGATAGATAGATAGATAGATAGATAGATAGATAGATAGATAGATAGAAAACCAATGCCTCATATAGGGCGATATTATACATATAAACTTCCCCATTATGTATCACTATTTAAACGATTAGAATTCTAAAATTTACCTATACAATAGCATTTATTATTTTTACACGTAGATGTGGATTCGATGCAAGTACTTATCATGCTCACTTACAAATAGGGAGTTAAATAACTACTAAACACGCCATCTTGCTTTAAAGGAGTTAAATAAGTAGTCAAATCTCATTACTACACTTCTTGCAGGTAATGCACACGGTATGTAGTTGTCATTAAAATGTAAAATGTTGGAAAAGTACAAGTCGCTACTATGTTTTGCTGGGTAGGTACTTAATTACCAATGAAATATCTAAATATGTAATAGGTCTTTTTTATTTGTGGTGTCTAGTTTATTTAATTAAAGTACAAACAAGTAAAGTACAACTACGCTTTTTTAATATAAACAAAAATATTCAGAGTAGTTTTATTTTTATTATTTTCGGTAATTTTCTTTTACATGTCGAGCATAAGTAATTAACTACAAATATAGGTTTCATCTACTTTTTTTGCCTCAAAAAAAAAAAAACTTTTCTATTTCAACCAACCTTTACTTGAGCATTGCAGTACTTAGTGTAAGTTTAAAAATATAAACATGGTTTTATCATTGATAAAAAAATCTTGCAAACCAATTGAAAAAGAAAGTGTTTTTTTTATTTCTCATTCATTACAACAACTTTTATTATTTCTTTTATTATTTTTTTGTTGTCGTTTTTTTTTTATATATAGTATGTATGCCACCTTTGTGTTGTAGTAAAACAAAAAAAAAAAAAGAAACAACGCTTCAATATAATTAATAGTATATTTTTGACGTCTTTCTTTTTACCTCTCTTTATACTATACAAAATCCTCCCAACCAACAGACTCTTGTTAAATTCAAAACTTAACTACAATTTTCGAAATAATTTTTGTGGTCATTAACTTTGTGTTTTTTATGCTACTAGTAGTTATATTTTTGTTATTAGTATTTGAAATTTTTTGTTTATTTATAAAGTTTTTTTTTTTGGGTTTTTGTTTTTAAAAGAAATGAAAAAAAGTTTCTGGTTTTTTAAGTTTTAACAATTATAAAGCATTTATTTATCGGTTTGTAACGGTCAATGGAGAAGGGTATTTAGCAGGTAAATGTGATAATTGAAATGGTGTCGAAAGTAAGCGTTTTTTCGGTTTTGTTTGGAAAAAGTTTATAAATATTTTTTCTGCACTGGAAATAATAGTATACGCACAATTGGGACGAACGACGAATTTTTCGGAACGAATATTCGTCGTCAGAAATAGAACACACTTGGGTATATGAAAATGTACACAATCATTGCGTATGACGAAATTCGTCGTACATAACGAACTATGCTATAGGTTTATTTCTATTTCTTAGGCAGACGAACGACGAATTAATTGGGGAAAATTGTTTTAAAACCAATTCCGGCAGCCCGAATTTGTTGAAATTTGGCGGTTGTAAGTACAGCTAATGACAATACAATATTATGTTCGAATATTCGAAATTATATTCGAAAATTCGAAGTTATGTTCGAAAAAAATTTTATGCTCTTAAAATAATCTCTGGAAGCTGTTAAAATAATCTCAAAATTGGGGATATTCACAAAAATATAATTTTAGTTCTTTTCGAGGCCAATTTCTTACATTTTCTAATTTCGAAATAATGTTCGAATAAATTTTAAAGCTGTTAAAATTATCTCAAAATCGTGGAGATTCTTTCTTAATTTTTCCAATTTCGAACAAATTTTGAAATGCATTCGCAGTACGAATAATTTGATTGTATTCCATTCGACGAATTTACGCAACGAATTTTTGTCGACTAGTTCGTCGTGCTATACGAAATTCGTCGTTCATCCCAATTGTGCGTATACCATAAGTTATTTTAGGATTTTAGATAGATAGATAGATAGATAGATAGATAGTTAGATAGATAGATAGATAGATAGATAGATAGATAGATAGATAGATAGATAGATAGATAGATAGATAGATAGATAGATAGATAGATAGATAGATAGATAGATAGATAGATAGATAGATAGATAGATAGATAGATAGATAGATAGATAGATAGATAGATAGATAGATAGATAGATAGATAGATAGATAGATAGATAGATAGATAGATAGATAGATAGATAGATAGATAGATAGATAGATAGATAGATAGATAGATAGATAGATAGATAGATAGATAGATAGATAGATAGATAGATAGATAGATAGATAGATAGATAGATAGATAGATAGATAG